AGTATTTTTTTTCTGTCCATATACCCTACCTGCTGTACATATTGGTTTATACATTTTGTGCAAAAGAAAAAGAAAAGTTGACTTTTTTCTTGTTGAATTTCATATTTATTGTTAATTTGCAGTATTTTTTCTCATAAGTTTTTCATCAGTCAGATTATATAATTAGAAAAACATTGATTTAGTAACCGAGTGGCCTTTTTTTTTTTTTTTTAATCAAATATGTTAGCATTCTTACCTTTGGAATTTCTGGGTCAGGTCCTTTATAATAAACATATGTAATTTATTTTTTATTTTAATTTTTTTTTTTACCAATTTCTGGGTCTATAGCCCTGCACAATAGTGGTGCTAGAATAGTGTCTGATATACTGTCAAAGCCACTGAATAATAAATTGTCTGCTCTACTCTAAACCTGTAACCTACTTAAGGACACACACATATATATATATATATATATATATATATATATATGTGTGTGTGTGTGTGTGTGTATATATATGACCTGCAGTTGAACTTGCATGTATAACTTTGAGCTTGTGTGAATTAATGCCTAAAAAATACCTAAATCCAAACATATAAAAAAAAAATAATTCTAAAAATTTTAATTTGCTTACCCATTACTAGTTTTTACAATCAATCACTGCATTTGGTTGTCTATTCAGATAAAAAGGAAAACAATATAATGCATAATAAAATTAATATCTTTGATTATTTTTTACTTCCTGAATGAAGCTGCAGAGCAAATTGAATCTGAGAAACTCTTACCTGCAACACATCCTTATCGTGAGCCTTTTTTCCAGCCTATCAGTGCAGCTCCCCATCTTCATTAAAGCCAATCACTATCTGGGACATTGTTGCTTCTCACTGAACAACAAACCTTCAACACTCCTTCTCCACGGGGATAGATAAATCTAACCTAGACCTACAGTACCTGTCCTACACAGAACTGCATTCAACCTGGTCTGCTGGTGTCTGAGGATAAATCACTGTTAAAACTTTTTAATTGCTGTTTTTCTAAGTGAGTCTCTTCAGGTTGAATTATGTTCATGCCTATATACAATTCACACAACTGGCTTTTTATTTAGTTTTTGTTTCAACCAAGTAGCACACACATAAACCATCCTAATGTTATGGCAAGAACAGACACGTCTTCTCACCAAGCAAAGTCGAATGAAGTAAAAATCTCCCAGTCAAGCAAAGTTCAATGCACCGGAAAATCAACAAAAAGCTCCTCAAATACTTTTCGATATGCTATCATTATGCCTTTCATAGGTTAATTCTTGTTTTCTTATTTATAAAGACTTGCAGGATTGCTACTGGTTGCATGATGGTGATGGCACAGTGGGGAGTGCTTTCCTTTTTATTCACCATTAAAACTTAGTTTTATTCACCGGGGCTTTCCAATATTTAGCACATATAATAAAACCTTTCTGTGTTTCCCAATAACAGAATAAAATTAGATTTAATCAAACTACACTTTAATAAAAGGTGGAATCAGAGACACAGTGCTCAAGACATAAGCTTCCATCAGTGTGGTGTTGTTAGCAAGGAGCACTGTGTGCAGCCCTGTTGCTTAGTAACTATGCCTGCAGTAAATCATGACTCTGATGATGGCCCTGGGCTACTCAGGTAAAATTAGTTCAACGAAACAGGAATTGGAAAAATGATATTTGTGCTTATGCGGGGCTTGATTGTTTTGTCTGTTTGAGAAGAAGCATGTGGTGCAGTATTTCTTAGAAGCTTTGAGAAACAAAAATCTTTTATGTAAGTATAAAATAAAACAACAACAAAAATGTAGCCATCTGCACAGTGTTTTCTCCTGCAATTATAGAAAACCATTTTTCAATTGCAAGGTTTCTACTGATCTGGATTTCAGACCTACAGTATAGGAAGTTGTTAATCAGATCATAAAGACCTTTGCAGTATCATGTGTAAATGTAAAAATATTTTCTCTATCGGTTCGCCTTAATGATTCATAAAACATTTTGTGATGTTTTTATAACACAAACAGTATAAAACAACAGTTATTGTTGTCTGTGCAAGATGGAGAGATGAATATGAATGTGTTTTAGAAAAAAAAATACCATCACAACATTTGCCATGCAGCTTCCTGTAGCATTTTAGCCTAATATATTTTCCATCCATACAGGAATGCAGTAATGTAACTTCAGCTAAAATAGACAGGCTGATTAATAAATCATGCATTGGCTAGTCACCCTCGTATGCCAGCATCCTCTTTGTCAAGGAGATTCTCACAAATTTAAAACCAAAATAATATATATTTTTTAAAACCTCAGCTGTTTAGAGACCTTCAGTGACACTAAGACTAGCAACAGAAATATAATATATATAATATTACAGAATATAACTTATGCCATTTTTATGACAAGAACATTCAGTTTTAGGGTCAGATAATGGAAATATTGTTGGGCTTACTTTAGGCTCGGGAAGTTCTGTTGCTGTAAGAGATCAGATTTTGAGTTGAGGGCTGTGTGAAACTGAAAATGTGTAATGTGTTTAGATTTTGAACAAGGCTACACAAAACACTGAAGACAAGGAAGACATACTGTAGTGAGGCTACAATGAAACTTTCCTAAATGTATTTCTCAGACATCTGCATTATGATAACCTCAAAATGAGCTTAAATCTTCTAATTATAAGAAAATAGTTGTGATGTACTCATAGAGATATAAATGCAGGTAAATGTAATGTGCATACATCAGAATATATTTAAAGGCTGACTGATTCAGTTACTAAATTCAAAGTTGAGCCCATCCAATGTCTGTGAGTGAAAAAAGGCTGTTGGAAATGTATGCTAATACTTTACTAAACTGTGCAGTTTAAATTTCCAATCTGTGTGCATGATCTCCTATCTGTGCACTCAGATTACTTTCTATTTTATTAAATTACAGTTTAAAGGATGCTAGAGGAAATATTACTCAAAGTGGTGAAGATGGTTTCACTGAGGGCATGCGCTGTCTGGAACTGATGTCCATTTTTAAACTTTCCTTATCATTCAACCCAAACGGGTTTTAGAATGGAGTTAGATCAGGAGAAAAAAAGAAAACATGTAAAAAATGCATATTTTGCTGGAAGAAGTCCTTTGTCAGGCATTGTGAACTGCAGTACTGGGCTGCAGAAAATCCCAGTCATTACCACACAGACAATGATCTTCAGTCATTAGGGATGCCACTGTTGATCAGCCTTTTATTATTAACAAATATTTTGACAAACAGACACAAAAGGGAGATTTTCTGTCACATTCCTATTACAGTACCTGTAAACTCAGAATGAAAATAGAAAAGTGGTTATTACTTTCATTTGTAGTAAAGTAGTACCTGTTGAATTCACAATCTGTCGGATAAAGTATAATTATTCAAAACCAAATAGCGGATGGATATATAAAAATAAGATATTGATGGAATAACAAAATAGTAGCGACTTCTTTGTATAAATTTTGATTCATATTTAATTCATCTTCATTCATACAGGTGAACTTCAGAAAGTCATTAGATCTAATATGCAAAGGACATCTATTTTATAAGTGTTAAAATACAGAGATTTAAGCCTGTGACAGACATTTGTTGATAAAGGAAAGTGTATACCTCAGAGTGAAAAAAAAAAAAATAGGTAAGGTTATCAGAACGTTATAGTCTTAAAGGAGAAGTTCGGTTTTTTACACTTTAAGCCCATTTTCTGTAGTGTCCAGGATGAAATCGAATGATCTTTTCGCTTCACTCTGTGTACTCCGACGTCGAGAATCAAGAATCCACCTTTCGTATTCCATTTTCAGAGTTTTTTAAAGTGTTTAACAGAGACGTTAGCACCTCGACGTCGGAGTACACAGAGTGAAGCGAAAAGACTACAACTGTGTAAACAGGCCCCATTTCCGTTTCCGGTGGCAGTGGAATATTGACTATTCCTACAGAACTCAATGGGATTTACAAAATGCTAAATAAAACACTACAGGAACGTTTTTTCTTCACGAAACTTTTTTTGGAACGTCATTGAACAGCGCTGACGACCCGGTGAGTAGCATATTTTAAAAAAAGAACGTTTAAGGTTGTTTTAAGGACATTATCGGACATGCTCTATGCAAGCCATTCTAAAGCAGCCAGGGGGTGATTCTAAATGAGCCAAAAAGCAGAGACAGGAGCAATTGTCAAACTTTTGGTGTCGATCATTAGATTTCATCCTGGACACTACAGAAAATGGGCTTAAAGTGTAAAAAACCGAACTTCTCCTTTAAGTTAAATGTGTTTTGTGTGTGGTTACAACACACACAAAAAAACTTAAAGAAAGGGTATAACAAATATTATGTATACAGTCCACCCCTAAATATTAATGTCAGTTTGTCCTCAAAATCAAATGACTGTGTTAGTGTGAAACAATAATCCACAATCAAATATTAAGCTAACATTTGAACAATTATATTAAAAGCTCAGATAGGATATTAAATAATATGTAAAGTAGAATTACATTTAAGTCTTAAAACAAAATGCTTAATAAGATACTTTAGCCAAAACACAAGAGGAAAAATATGCACCTTTAAGACTTGAGTGGTTAATATTTTGTTCTTGAATGATGTCCAGATTCATAGATCCTAGAGAGGCATCTATGAATGAATCATGTGCTTGATTGAATATTTGTTTATACCTCTATGAACTGAATTAATTTGCCTTACTAGCTTGTGGAGTGCCATGTTTAACAACAAAAAAAATAAAAAAATAGCACAGTATATTACTCAACCATGATATTTGACTTCCTTAAAAAAAAGAAAGGAGTTTTTGATAAAAAAAAAAAATAGATAAACACTTTATCCACCAATATTTCTTTCATAGTAAAAAGTGTAGAATTAAAAAGCAATGATGGCCTTTTCTTAAAAATGTCTGTAGGCCTAAAGTCTGTTTGAGCGTGTTTCTAAATTTTAACTTTCAGGCATTCTGAAAGCATTAGTGAAAACTTGACTTAAAAAACGAACTAAACTAAAAAAAACGTTTTCACTTTTACTTGAGTAAAGAGGTTAAGTTGATTGACTGTTTTTCAACTTCAGTATCTATACTTCTACTGAAGTAACAAATGTGTGTACTTTTGACACCACTGTCTATATATTTTAAAGTATTTATAAGATGAGAAGGCAAATCTATCCTTTGTGACTGGCTTGTTTTCGTTGGCCTTTCTTCTGTCGGTAATGAAACAGGCTTGTTGTGTCAAGATCACCTGCATAACCAATGGCTTCAGCGAACAACTTCACCACCTATAAAACAAAAAAAGTGTAATTCCTTGAAAACCATGAGACAAAACCAACCAAATTTTAAAAATGTCCATTCTGTGGTTAAATCCATTAAACTGACCTGAAAATTTGTAATGAGGGGAACACCATGGTCAACTGCCATTCTTCGTATCAGGAAGTTATCGTGCAGATGGCGTGTGTTGTTATTGGGCAAATTGACAACCAGGTCAATATGGCCCTCACTTATCAATCTGTAGATGCATGCAAAAAAACTTTTAGAAATAGCTAAATGTATTTAAAAAAACACAAAAAGCAAAACACTAATTTAAACTTTAGCAAAAAGTATGCTTATGAGATTAATGTAATTTAATCGATTTGTTATTCGTGGACATGTGTAGGATGCGAGTACATTGGTGTTCTGACAGGATGCAGTTTTTTGATTAGATGCATGCATCAGTTTTCAAAGCTTTGCAGTGGAAAGATACGTCATTCTAATGTACGAGACATAGAAGACCTTTTCTAAAACTACATACTACATTTGTAAGTACTTTTAATATTAAAATTCAGTTTTGGAAAAAAAAAAATCAGAGGGAAAGGACTTTGATGTCAGTTAAATGATATAAAAAATACATAAACTAGTCTGATTTAGTTGAAATTTAACTCTAACTATATCCAAATATATTGCATTATATAACATCAAACTCAAATTGGGCTGTGCTGGATTAGTCAACAGTGTTAAACTGTGGTTGACATTTGAATAATATATCAATTTAGTGATATATCTTTACTGTATAAGACTGATATACTTTCTCTTTATGTGAAACAATGCAAACGTTTTATACAATATTATTTCCAGGGACTACAAGAACACTGGGAAAAGAAAGCTGACTGAAGATTACTTGTTCTCAGAGATTCTACACGGGTCCAAGGTCAACCAATAAACAATAGAGAGGAAATATCAGAATTTGGCAAGTCAAGGTGACCCAATGCTTGATCTCATTGGATTAACCACTAAGAAAAGAAAGAGAAACAAAACAAAGCAAACAATACAACTAAAAGGCATGAAAAAGCTTGTTAATATCCTTTCCCCTAATACCAAGCATGGAAAAGTTTTGCTTTAAGAGACATATTTTTGTTTTTATATAATGAGCAAGTCAGTCTTTTAAAATACTACTTTTAAATATATTTGTAGCTCTAATACAGTCAAAAACTGCAAAACAGAAATGGCAATTTCTTTAAAACTAAAGTAACGCAGAAAGAATATAATTAGATTTTTATAGCTGAAATACTATTTACATATACTGATTTAGACATGGGCAGGACATTGCTGCAGTTTGTAGCACTGTTGCTGTGCAGCAAGAGGGTTCTTGGTTTGATTCCCAGCCAAAGGTCTTTCTGCATGGAGTTTGCATATTCTCCCCGTGCATGCGTGGGTTCACTCCTGGTACTCTGGCTTCCTCCTACAGTCCAAAAACATACCTGTAGGTTATTTGGCATCTCTAAAATTTGCTCAAAATTCTAGAATTGCGCTGCTTAAGGTTGCTGCATGTTGGAGTTGCTCTGATAGCTTGACTCTGATATTCTTTTTTAAGTGAAGTTGAATCCTTCCATTTGTGGATCAGAGTTTCTTTTTCTGATTTTTTTTGCCTCTGTTGATGAATGCTGTGACACTGGATGAATTTTCACTGATAGTTTTGTCCTCTTGTTATGATAGTTAACCACAGCAATCATAGCAAGTTGATTTTTTACACCCATGAGAAGCTCTTTAAGATCTGTAAAGGTGAAATAATACTTCAACCACTTTCTCAAGGACGTACTAATTTGAAAAGGAGGCACCCAGGGATGCCGAGCAGGAGCAAGGAGAAGAGTGAGGAAGAAGAAATTTAAACCATCTCCTTCATCAATCATAATGGGCAATTTGAGATCTTTAGGAAACGAGTTAGAAGAACTCCACACCCTAGCAAGGACCCAGCCAGAAGATTGGCAATGCAACATTATCACATCTCGGACTCAAGCATCTCTTGCCTAGAGATTTCAGCAGTGTTTTTTTAGGAACTGTTTATATTCCACCTTCTGCCGTTGCTGACACTGAATGAGATATGGTCAGTTCCATTGTTGCTAAGCCTGAGACACAACAGCCAAATGCATTGGTGGAAATAACTGGTTATTTTAATTGCGTCTCACTCACACTGCCAACACTCCCAACAGTTTGTCAGCTGCTGCACCAGAGAAAAAAAAACATTGGACTTGTTTTATGCAAATGTTAAGGACTCCTACATCGTCTATCAAGTAAGATCTACTCTTGGGAAATCAGATAATCTGCATTATAAAGAACTGTAAGACGATAATCAAAGGAAGCTGAAGAAGCCCTGCAAGGTTCTTTTGAGGCTACAGACTGGGATGCACTGTGGTGAGGAAATTCAATGGAATGACTGAGTGTGTGACTGACTACATAAACTTCTGTGTAGCTAACACTATCCCTACCAGAACAATGAAATGCTTCCCAAATAATAAAACATGGATCACACGGGCTTTGAAGCTTTGCTCTACAAGAAAAGGAAAACCTTTAAGAAGGGAGACAGGGAATTAATAAGAAGTATACAGAAATAACTTAAGATCAAGATAAGAGAAAGCAAGGACGCATACAGGAAAGGGCTGGAAAACAAGCTACAGAAGAAAAACATCAGACATGTGTGGTCAGGGATGGAGAAGATCACAGACTTCAAGCAGAAGGATGATCCGACAGATGGAATTCTGAACAGAGCCAATGAACTGAATACATTCTTCAACAGATTCAGTTCAGCAACAGGCTCAGCATCTTTTTCTCCTGCCAACAGTCACAAGGACATCCTGCCCTCCTCTGCCATTGACTCTCCTGCTTCTATTAGTTTGTTATCTACCTAATCAGAAGATGCTGTTCCCCTCTGCAGAGTAGTTCTGTGGGATTCTACAGCACCTCTTTAACATTAGTCTGACTCTGGAGACATTTCCAGTGATGTGGAGGATCTCCTGCCTTGTTTCACAGCCAAGGAAGACTCAGCCAACAGTCCCCAGTGACTATAGATTAGTTACTCTGACATCCTGTATCCTGAAGGTCCTGGCAACACTTCTGTTGGGCCACCTCAGGAAGCAAACAAGCAACTATCAGGACCCCCTGAATTTTGCTTATCGCTGTGGAGTTGGAATTGATGATGCTATCATACACCTACTTCAACAATCCCACTGTCATTTGGACAAGTCATACAGTACTGTGAAGATCAAGTTCTTCATTTCTCCAGTTTATTTAATACAATTCAGCCTGACTTACTTTGTGAGAAATAAAAGACTCAGAAGCCTCCTTCTGAGTCAATAAACGCCTGGATCAAAGACTACCTGACAAAATAGGAACATACTCTCTCCATTCATTTTACTCTGTAAATGTCTGACTTCCAGTACCAGATAGAGTCCTGTCATCTGCAGAAATACTCAGATGACTCTGCAATCATTGGATACATCGAAGATGGACAAGAAGCGGAGTACAGCACTGGTGCACCGCTTTGTGGCATGGTGTGGAAACAATCATTTGATCCTAAATGTCAACAAAAAAAGGGAGATGACTGAAGCTTTCAGAGCATACAGGAACAAGTTCAAACCTATACATTATGGGAGACGAATTGGAGATGGTTGAGGAGTTCACTTGGACAACAAACTTGACTGGAGAGACAACTGGGAAGCCATCTACAAGAAGGGACAGAGCAGATTGTATTTCCTAAGGAAGCCTAGGTCCTTCAGCATTTGCAGCAAGATGCTATATACTGTATCTTCTTTAAGTCTGTTGTGGAAAGTGTGATCTCTTCTTCCATGCTCTGCTGAGGTAACAGCATTAGAGCTATTGACTTAAAAAAGCTCAACAAGCTAATGAAGAAGGCCAGTTCTATTATACGAACTGCTATAGATCCTCTGGAGATTATTTCACAAAGAAGGATTCTTCATAAAGTTAAATTATGGACAACAGCGAGCATCCACCTTAGAAGATTTGTAAAAAAACAGCTGAGTATATTCAGTAAGAGGCTTCTCCAGATCTGGTGAAAGACATGCTGCTACAGAAGATCCTTCCTGCCTACAGCTATCAACACCTGTTTAAAAAAATAATGTATGAGTAACTGCAACATTTAATTTCCCTTTGAGATTAATAAAGTATTTTTGAATTGAATTTTGTGTGCATGGTTGCTTGTCTTTGTGTATTGCCCTGTAAAAGACTTAATGACCTGTCCAGGGTGTACCCCCCCAATTGCCCATACACTGCTGGAGATAGGCAACAGCCCCACCGTGGTTCTGACTAAATAAGCGAGAGAAGACAGATGGATGGATTAAGACAGTTGCATTCCTATTATGAATTTGGCTTGACATAAATCATATGGATCTTTAATGAATAATTCTATTGTTTTGTCTGTTGTTGTCAGAGTGATTAAATGTTATGGCTTTAGATCCCTATGCCATATTATTTGCTAATTACAGGTTCTGAATCATTGTTTATGCAATGTTGCAACATTTACTTGTTACCCTGATCAAAATGTGTAAAAGCCTAACAAAGGAGAAGTATTTTTTTTTAAGGATTAGAATATTGGACTGGACTTAAAAACGTAAATCTTTATTTATCAGCATAATTAGCTAATAGAAAAGAGAACCAGTTAGATCTTAAAAGATCTAATCTTAAAAGTAAACACATTTACACTCTCTCTCTTTTTGCTCAAACCTGCAAAGATGTTATAGCAAAAAGCTACTTCAAGTGTTGCAAAACAGCATTACTACAAGGTATGGGATTCAAAGTATTGACAATAGGGATATATACCTTGAATAATAAAAAAAAAAAAACCTACTAATTCTTGTTGTTTTTTTTTTCTCTGTAATAAAATAATATGACTACTTAAATGTA